AACTGATTTTCAAATTTTGAACCAGCCTTGCATACCTGGGATAAATCCTGCTTTGTCATGCTGTAAAATTTTTTTATACATTGTTGGGTTCAATTAGCTAATATCTTATTGAGGATTTAACTTTTTCTTTGAGCTTCATTTCTTTTTAAAACTTACTGTTCAAGAAAAAATAAGTGTTACACATTATTATAGAAAATTTGGACTAAAAGTGGAAAAAAAATACTCTTAATCCCATCACTCCGAGGTAATCACTCTCCATCATTTTGGTGTATTTCTTACAATCTTTTGTAATAGAAATATTAATAACAGCAACAGTAAATGTTGTTATTACTTCTTTGGGTGGATACAGAGGTAGAGACCCCATGGTGCTGTATTTACACAGGGGAGTAATGAAAGGAGGTAAAGAGGATATACATGACTGCTTTTGTCTGCATTTTCTGATGAAGATGAGAAAATTGGTTTAAGGAAGAGATTAAATGGTCACTTTAATAACCCTTTCTTTTCTCAATACCCCCATTGTAAAATCCAAGCAACTGAGGCTTCTACCCAGGTTGTCAGGAAAATATTTGACAGCACTCAGAATGTTAGTAATGGAGTGTAGTTCATAGTTCACGTCTGCTGTATTTCTAGGCTGCTGTGGATAATTTTCCAAGCCTTAGGAATGAGCATTGGTTTTATTCATGAATAGTGGCTATTCTCATACACGAAAGATCCTGAAAAAGGACTTTGTCCTCATCTCTTCCCTCACCTGCCCTCACTGGAGCCTGATAGAGATTTGGAAAGCGCTGTCTTGGAGCAAAATGCCGGAATAAATACTAGAGGCTGTGCAGAAGCCTTAACTTTGAGATTCCCAATGTGAAAGTTTCCATGGACACTGGCATGTTGGGAAGGCACTGTGCTGGTGGGAGTGAAGACAGCTTGTGGCATCTGAAAAAATTGCATTTCCTGCTTTTTTATTTTTCTATTTCAGAATAGTGGCCATTCAGAAGAGGAAAGGGGGAGTAAAAGTGGACTTCTTGACCTTTTGGGGAGGTATTTAGAGTCTTCACAAACTATTTCATACAGTTCACACTTTTTAAGATCACTTTTGGAGTAGGCTCCTTTAAACTTACTTGCAGGGAATTTGGCTAGTAGAACAAGTATTTCTGAACTCTTCAATCAACGTAGACTCAGATGTTTTTCTTTTGTGTAGCTTCCTGCTCCTGACCCTATTCCATCTTTCTCAGTTCATGTCAGCAACACCTTTCGGGAACAAATCTTTCTTAAGCCATGATGCTTTCTAGTTAGTATGCCTTTTTTTTTTTTTTTTTTAATAATTTGCCTGTAACAGAAAACTAAATAAAACCTTAGTTTCCTACAAGCCAGCTAGCTAGCTAGGAGTTAATGGCTTACAACCCATGTCAAGCACGTTGAATGGTGTTGTTTTTAAGTATAAGCTCTTAATTCAAGGTTTTATGTGTTTAATTATGTATGTGTAAAGTGCCAGTCTGTATGCCTCTTGGGTCCAGCCTAGCAGTGCCAGTCTGTATGCCTCTTGGGTCCAGCCTAGCGTGGAAATATTAACTACACAATCATATAGAAAGTAGCGTGGGATGGAACTTAACTCTTCAGATGTGTATCCTTTATCCCAAGCTTCACTTGGAGGGGAATAACATCTCAGTGGGGACAATAACAGAGCTGCTTGTTGACCAAGGAAACATCTCAGTTAAGAAGAAATAAGTCTGAAGAACCTGAAGCAGTCAGAAAGGGATCATAACAGGCAATATATTGTAGTACAAAGTATACTGGACTGGACCAAAGGAGAGCTGGTTTCTAAGCTTGACTTTATTACTGCACATGTATGTGTGTGTATGTGTGTGGCCTGTAAATTGAGGAGGTTGAACTCAGCTCTAATGAGAACAGTCAGATCTTCACTAGTTAGTTATGACTGTTCACATATAAGCCACCCAATTTTGCAAATTATAATGCTGTGTTTAAGTAATTTTAGTAAAATGCTATGTTTAAGTAATACAGATTTTCACCCTAATACAACGATAACAAAGATATATCAAATGGCTTGTAACCTAGGACTTTAAAGTTTCAACAACTTAGGGGCCAGTTGACCAAAGGGAGGAAGCTCCTATTAGGGTTTCATTTGTGTAGAAGACGCAGGTATCACAGGGGAGATTTTGCTGGAGGCCACTACCAGTGCCCTAGGAATTACTTTGAGGAGAGGGAGATTTTTCTTTTAACCAGAGTAGTTCTACTTTTGGTTCTGTTATGATTTAGGGTTCTACATTAAGATTTTGTTTAGGGTAAGTGAAGTTCTGTGCCTCTAAAAAAGCTTGTTCTGTGATACGCCCAGGCTTCTCTTCTCTGCATATGTAGAATTTCCTTTTACTGACACTGTATGTAATAGTCAGGAGTATGAGACTGTCACTCTCACCTTTCAGGAGCTGTAGGATAGAGGCTGAAGAAATTCTAAGAAACCCACACAGAAATGATGTCAGTGGCTCTCAGGTAGCAGGGGCTGAAGGAAAGGGTCTGCTGCTCTTGGAGAACCATGAAGTTTGTAGCAGAATGGAGTTTTGATGGCAGGGAGGTGAAATAAAGCTTGAAAGGGAGTTTTGAAAGCTGTTTCACTCCTGCCATTGGTAAGAGTCCTTTCTCCAGAGTACTCAACCTACTATATCCCAGGGAGTCTCTCCTTTGGCCTCTGAATGTGAATGGAAGCTATGACCCAGAAATTTGTTCTTACCATTTTGAACTAGGTTGGAGAATATCTTTTTGTTGATTAGTACAGAACAGGGGTGAAAAGGATAAAGGTTTTAGAGAGTAGATTATTGTGCCTTCAGTTCTTATTTGTGGCCTGATCTGTATAAGATAAACTGTACAAAATAAAGGTTGAGAAACCTGTGTAAAACAATGGGAAACAGAGAATTTGATTTTTTTTTTTTTTTTTTTAAGCCCTATGATTTAGTCACCTACTGCAGTCTGGCCACACCTTTCCTGACTGATGTCAGCTTCTGACCTGAACCACATGTGTCTGTGAGGGCTAGTAAAATAGGTTGCGAGTCAGTTTTTATTGTGTTCTCCATTTTTAGTCACTTGTAACTGTTAAAGAGATTTTTGCAGGCATTCAGAAAAGTTCATCTCTTAGCTAAAATTTGCTAGGTTTAGTCTCTAAGAGAAGGTCTTAGGTCTTTATAAGACCTAATTTATTTCAGAGTTTGAGATCATTCATAAAAGGTCATCATAAAGTATAACAGCCTTGAAATAAACACACTAAAAATAAAAGGAATTACATAAATAAGCACAAATCACAGTTCTCAATCTGATACAGAATTTGCCGGGACATTAATAACATTTAACACTCCCCCTCCCCTTTTCCTTCGCACCAGCGAGAGTACTTGCAGAGAGTATAATGAATTCCTGAGGGCTTATGTCACTTAGTCACTTGATGTGTGAATAGAGACGTGTCCTACAGGCCTTATTTTGTATGGACGTTCTTATGGAAGTGTTACAAAAGCTGCTTACAGTATCAAGCCTCTTTCAGTTTTTAAGAGGCTAATTAAAAATGGCCCCATCTTCCTCTCTTCTGTAGACTGCCTTTTCCTCAGTCTCCTTTTTAGGTTTTCCCAGTTTGGCTTTCCTTCCCGGTGTTCTGGTGAACAGAGCACCAGACTGGGAGCAGGAAGATTGGTGTCCCCTGCATCTTCTCCAGGTGCCCTGCAGCTGCAGCTGTTCCCTTATCTGGCAAAGAAAGGGATTCGCTTAGGTGACAGCTACTTTCTCCTTCAGCTCTAAAACTCTCACTTGGCCTTTCTCCTTCTGTCCACTGCTCTACCTTTTCCCTTTTCCCTGCCATAGTTATTCACCGTGCAGAGTTGTTTGAAAATATTCCTAAAATACACATAGTTGTGAGGAAGCATCAGTAAGTATAGTTACTGGAAAGATACAGAGTTTAGAAGTTCTTATTTTGGTAGTTTCTCACTTTGTTTACCTTATGCCCCAGCCAAATATATCCTGCAGCCATATTTTATTTGATCTGCTCAGTGGTTGCTATAAAATAAATTAATAATATATTTTTACTCATCAGAGAATAAACATTTTAAGGATTGGCATGATCTAATATTGGTGATAAAGGTATAAAGAAATGCCTACTTTCACACATTGTTGTGGGAATGTAATTGGTACATCTTTTTTGGAGGGCAGTTTGGCTGTATCAGTCAGTATTTTAGAGTATATAATAAATTGACTCAGTGACTCTAAAAGTGTCTAAAAAAATTCATATGCGAATATTGAGATACATCCAAGGATGTTCATTACTGTGTTGTTCGTAATAGCAAAAATTTGGAAATATCCTGTATTTCCATTAAGAAGGGAAATATTTAATGGGTACGTTTATCTTTTTATTTATATATATAAATATTCATTGTATATATCCACATCATAGACATTAAAAATAATATAATGAAGTTGATCTGTATGTACAAACATATTTTAAATAGAAAAGCAAGACCCAGAACCTAATGTTCACTATGACCTATTTATATAAAAACAACATAACTGTCTGTATATGTATATGTGTATAACTAGATAGAAAGATGGCTGGAAGGATACATACCAAACTGTTACTAGTAATTACCCTCCAAAGAGAAAAATGGTATTCAGATGGAGAGAGAAGAGGAATTTCATTTTTTACAATTTACACTCACCTATTAAATTGTTAAAAAGTAATCAGGTATTGCTGGTGTAAAAATGAATAAAAGGAAGAGCAAAAAGGAAAGGAGGATAAGGAGTTACTTCCTAAAGACTAAAAAAGGCAAACGAACTACTAAGAAATTCATCAACAGTATTATGGGAACATTGTTTAGAGGATAGTCCCAAAATTTCAGGACCACGTAGGAACCATGGTTGGTTTATATTTTGGCCAGGGCTGCCTAGCATTTACAGTACAGTTCTATCCTTCCATTCTTTGTATGCCCAACTTATTATTTTTACTTGTTTGTGTTCTGCAGGTAACCCGGGACCAGATGAAGGTGTTTATACAGCAGGAGTTTAAGAAAGTTCAGAAAGTGATTGCTGATGAGGAGCAGAAGGCCCTTCATCTAGTGGACATCCAGGAAGCAATGGCCACCGCTCATGTGACTGAGATACTGGCAGACATCCAGTCCCACATGGACAGGTTGATGACTCAGATGGCCCAAGCCAAGGAACAACTTGATACCTCTAATGAATCAGCTGAGCCAAAGGCAGAGGTAAAGGAGAATGCCTACAATTATTAGTAGCAGGAGGAATAGGAGGAGACTGACTGCTATGTTTGTTAGCTCTGGAAATTCTCTTTTATGGTCCCTAAACATGAATAAATTGAAAGCTTAGGGTATAGGTATTTAGACTGGTGTGTGAACCAGTGTGGAAGTATTGGCACCTAGGGCCTGCACCCAGGAATTGGGCCTGGCAAAATATTTGTCTACCATGACTTAAAGGAGTTATAGTCAGTAGGGCAAATACTAATCACAGTTAAGGAGGGAAGCCAGAAATCAGAGCCAGAGAAGAAGGCAATTGACAGATTCCAAGTTGTGAAATGAGCCTGTAAATAAAGTCATCATAGGGATGAGAACAGGGTGAATGAGAATGTCAGGAAGTGGAGCATAAAGCAGGCCAGAATGAAGGGTTTTGGACTGATTGTGTGAATAGTAAAAAAGTGCCTTAGCCTGGTTTTTATATGGAGCCAACTGCATAAATTGGGGGCATAACTGTTAGATTAAAGGAGGCATGTGGCACTGGAAGGATCAAAAAAGGTGTGAATGAAAGACACAAAGTAAATGTTGAATCACTACAAATGTGAGTCTCTGTATTCATTATTATTTCGTAACAGGCAAAAAAAAGTCTTAAACATTTTACCAAACAACATATTCAGGCATTTAGAATATAATTCTAAAATAAAATTTAAGACAGCCATTTTAAAAAATACTATAGAATTTATATTTCACCCACTGGGGAGAAGCTTTTATTCATAAGGTTTCATAGTGTTATGTTGAAAATTCTGGTCAAGCTTATGTCAGAAGGGTAGGTCCTTCTAGAAGAAAACCTAGGGGAGTCCCATGGACTCTCCAGGACTGCTACTGACTCACTGAGCTTATTGCTTAGCTAGCAGTCTTGCCTTGGCCCAGGAGAGCCTAGATACAGAATAAATGAGCCGACGGAAGAGCCAGGTTATCATTCAAGAGGTAGGTATTGTCCGAGTCATCCTGACAGAAAATGTCAGAGACCATTGGACAGTTATCTGCTTCACTCATCCAAGGTTCTTGATTAATTTTCATCAGTGTGTGAAAAGAATAGAATGTCTTGTTCTTTTCATTTTATCCTCTGCAGAATTGAGAAAATGTGTGCCTAAGTAAGTTTCCAGATAGGCAAGAGAGCATTCTATATTCATCATTTAATTTAACCCTTATATCAGCATTCATTATCTCTGTTTTACAGGTGGGATATTGAGATGCAGAGAACTGCAGAGATGCTGAGCCAGTGTCATTTAGTTAGTAGAAAACAGAGCCAGGATTCAGATTGAAGTCTGTTCTATCCCAATGCCTATGTGTTTTCCCTACTATGTGCAGTATGTCAAGTGTTCCATTTATATATGTGGGAAAAATGAAGAGAATCAGTGCCCTAGACAGCTTTGTGTTCCTGAGACCTTTTATTTTTTTTAAAGATTTTTGATTTATTTATCTTTGTCAGAAAGAGAGCATAAGAGAGCACAAGTGGGGGGAGGGGCAGAATGAGAAGCCGACTCCTTGCTGAGCAGGGAGCCTGATGTGGGACTCAATCCCAGGACCCCAGGATCATGACCTGAGCCAAAGGCAGATGCTTAACTGACTGAGCCACCCATGTGCTCTCCCGAGACCTTTTATAGTGTGGAGGTGGTCACTTTGTGTCTTAAACAAAAAATTCAACCAGAATTAACTCAAGGGATAAATGGCATCACTCTGTCCCAAGTTCCCCCCAAATCGGAACCCCACATTTATTCTCTGTGTTGATTAGGTTGTTTTTTCAAAACTAAAGATTTATTTTTGAGAGATAGCCCCTCTCTTTTATTTTCATTTCAAGTAATGAATTTAGTCCCTCCCCAGTATTAACCATCCTCTAAGCACTTCAGCTGCTTAACTGCACTATGCTTGTTAACTCTGATGGGATTACTCCTAGGGATGCAAAACTGACAAGGCCAAAGGACCAGGCTGTGGACAAAATAAGCTATTAAAAACAAAAAGTAGCATTCAGCTGGCTAGAGCTTTTACAAAGAGCTGTTCTCATCTAATAGCCTCTCGCTCCAGCTAATCTGGTAACGTACTGATCAGAGCAAATCTCCAGTACCTCTTTTTCACTCAGCAGAGGAATTCTTTTCTTCCTTTTGCATGTTATCGATTTTTTTTAATCACCTGCATTTCATATTTGGCCAAAAGAGTCTTCCTCCCAACATTTTATTATGAAAATTTTTGAACATGTAGCAAAGTTGAAAAGATTTTACAGATTACACCAATATACTTCCACCTAGATTCTACCATTAACATTTTAATATACTTGAATCATGATTTACACATAGCCATCTTTCCAGCCTTCCACCCTTCAATGCATCTTATTTTTTTGACGCTTTTAAAATTGGATTGCAGATACTGATTCTGAACAAGATGGAGTAAACATATTTCACTTTATTACTTCCACCAATCACAGCAAAAATTCCTGGACTATTTATTTATTTGTTTATTTATAAAATATTTTATTTATTAGAGAGAAAGAGCATGAGCGGGAGGAGGGGCAGACTCCCCGCTGACCTGGAAGCCAACGCAGGGCTCGATCCCAGGACCCTGAGATCGTTACCTGAGCCCAAGTCAGATGCTTAATCAACTGAGCCACCCAGGTGCCCCCGGACAAGATATTTAAGTCACCTACCAGAAGACTCTCAAAAGTGAGAAAAGATGGTCCTGACCAGGGATCTTGGGATTTGAGGAACTACATGGCAGTGAGTTCCCTGGGATTTTTCTTGCTTCCTGTATATCCTGGCCTAGGTGCCTTACAAACTGGAAACTATAATGAGCACAGACAGAAAGAAAATCTCCAAGAAAAGCCTACCCTCTGTAGCCAAAGAACTAGGAAAAGGGCAGTTCAGCTATAGAGAAACCTTTTGACCAATCCTGCCTATTCTGGAAACACACCAGGAATAAAACTACCCCTTCCCAGCCCCAGTTGGCACTGCAGGAGTGGAGCCAGTGGGGTGGAAACCTATCTGTTGTCTTCTCCTGCAGTAATGAGTTATCATTCCTTTCCCCTGGAGCCTTTAGGTAAAAGTCTGACTTCTGTCATCACCCCTGCCCCACTCAGGAGTCAGTGGTGCCTGTCTCCCTTGGAGCCTAAAGGTAAACTCTTCTACCCCTGCCCTGCAGTATCAGGAAGGAAATAGTATCCCTCCCCTTTGGAGACTGTAGATGGAGCTCTAACTCCTCCCTCCCACCCCTACATTAACTAGGCAATATACCTCCCAACTGGGTCAGTGAGTAGAACCTTATCTTCCACTCTTGTCTTATAGTAATGAGTTGGTACCCCTCCTTCTCCCTAGCCAGCACTCTGGAGATGATAGCATGGAGTTTTGTCATCTGAGGGGGGCAGATCAGAATAGCATTGCAGAATCATTTAAACTATATTGATATTTGAACCACAATCCACAAACCTGATCCAGGACATGTGTTCTGCTTCTTTCTTCTTTTTCTTCTTTTTTTTTTTTTATCATAATTTTTATTTTCATTTTATTTTGTTTTATTTATTTTTTTAAATTGAAGTATAGCTGACACACACTGTTCCATTAATATAATAGGACACGTGTTCTGAATTTAAATATGTTGACTTCTTGCTAGAATAGAAGATTTAAATCGGAACCAGATTCTTAAATACTCAAAATGTTCAGGATACAGTCCCAAATCAGTCATTATACCAAGAACCGATAAATCTCAACTCTAATGAGAAAAGACTATCTAATGAGAAAAGATGCCACCACCAAGATGACACAGAGTATAGAATTATCAGAGAAGGATTTTAAAGCTACTATTTTGAAATGACTTAGCAATAACAAACTCTGGAAACAAATGAAAAATAAAAAATCTCAGCAAAGAAGTAGAAGATATAAAGAAAGACCAAATGAAAATTTTAGAACAGAAAAATACAATAACTGACATAAAAGATTTCACTGGATTGGCTCAGTGGCAAATTGGAGATAAGAGAGGAAAGAATTGGTGAATTTGAAGATAGAGATCCAATCTGAACAACCAAGAAAAAAGACTGAAAACTAATTGAAATTGAGTCTTAAGGACCTGTGGGACAATAAAGGAAGATCTAACATACATGTCACCCATGTCAGTAGGGGAGGAAAAGGATTGCGGTGCTGAAAAAATTGAAGAAATAATGGCTCAAAACTTCTAAAATTTGGGTGAAAGACATAAACTTAGAGATTTAAGAAGTTGAGTGAACGCACGCAAGATAAATTCTAAGAAATCCATACCTAGACACATCAAAATCAAAGTAATGAAAAGGAAGGACAAAGAAAAAAATCTTGAAAGCGAAGTAGCCAGAGAGAAATGACACAATTAGCTATGGGGAACAATAATTTGAATGAATGTAGTATATATAAGATATTTGCTCTATATCTATTGAAATGATTATATGGGTTTTTTTTTCATTATTTTATTGTAATGGCTGATTTTATTGGTTAATTTTACAATATTAAATCAACCTTGCATTCTTAAGATAAACTCCCACTTCATTATTATGTATAATCTGGGTTCAATTCATTAGTTTTTTATTTTATTTTTTTTAAAGATGTTATTTATTTGAGAGAAAACAAAGACACAGAACACAAGTGGGGGGAGGAGAGAGGGAGAAGCAGACTCCCCGCTGAGCAGGGAGCCCACTCCATCCCAGGACCCTGGGATCATGACCTGAGCCAAAGGTAGGCATTTAACCAACTGAGCCACCCAAGTGCCCCTCAATTCATTAATTTTTTAAAAAGATTTTTAGGTCTGTGTTCAATGAGGGATATTCATCTGTAGTTTTATATTTTTATAACATCATTGTCAGGCATTGGTATTAGGGTTAGCTGACTTCAGAAAACAAGCTGAGAAGTATCCCCTCGTCATCTATTTTCTGAAAGTTTATGTACAATTCATGTTATTTCTCCCTTAAATAGTTGGTAGTATTTACCAGCAGAATCATCTGT